AGGGAAGAGACAAGCCAAAATGACCAGTACTCCCCCGACAACAAGCCTGCAGGCACGTGTGAGAGATGGACGCTTGTCTGGTATGGTATGTGTGCACGTGACTGGTGGGGGGTGGAGGATGACCACTTGACCCATGTCATGGTGCGCTGAATGTCTGTCTGTCTGTCTGTCAGCCTGTTTGTTTGTCTGTATTTGTCTGTCTGTTCGTTTGTCTTTGTATCTGTCTATTTATCTGTCTGTCTGTTTGTTGTCTGTGTGTCTGCGTGTCTGTCTGTCTGTACGTACGTCATTGTGTGTGTTGTGTGTGGGGGGGAGGATTTGTGCATGCATGTGGGAGTGTGTGTTTGTGCATGTATGGGTGCGAGTGTGTGTGCGCATCATTTTTGTGATGAGCTGATGACTTTTTGTACTACTTTGTTTACTTCTGATTGAGATTTCTGTACTAGATTTTTTTATTTACATGTAAAATTGTAATGCATATGAAGACTACAGGGAGGGGAAAATGACAGAGTTTTGTTTTGTTTTTTATTATCATGGTTGCTTCATGAAACTGCTTTTTATTTTTTTTTTACAAAATTAACATTTTGAAAGGGAGAAAAGGGGCAGGGTCCATGTAAAAGTGAACAAAGTAAATAGTGTAGCCTTCTGTGAGACATGAAGTTCCAAGATTTCCCAAGATCACCATAAAGTGACTGTGACACCATTTTAATCCCTGTAGTCTTCATGTTTCTGAACAACACGGGTAGTTAGAGGACAGTCTCTAGGTACTGCTTCTTGTTGGGGGGGTTTTCAGTGGTTACTAAAGATACTTTCGACCTCAGCTGTTCTTGGCAGGATGGTGGTTGGCAGGTGCTCTGATGTGGTTTGCTCCTTCTTTCCTACCAAACATCTATTGTCCTTATCTCTCCCTCTTCTTTTTGTTTGTAACTTTCTTGCAACACCTCTAATCGTCAACACTTGTATGACCCCTTTGTGTTGCAAGTGCTGTAAACTCTTGTCAACCACCCCCACCCCCCCAAATATATTATTTCTTTCTTCTGCTGATTGGAGGGCTCCACCAGTAACTTCTGTTTCTTTCACTCTCCCTTTTGCTTCTGTCTTTCCATCTTGCTCTTCCCAGTACAAGATTACTGTAATCATGTTTATATGCTTCAGGTTACCTCAAACAAACGTAATCCCTTGCATCCTTTGGTCAAAGGAAAGAAGATATTTTGTTCATTGAAAGCATCATGACATTTTTCTGTACATATGTATTTATGTATATCTATTTATTTTTTAATGTCTTTTTATTGTTCCTGGTAACATACTTTTGACAATGGGACCTTTTGTTTTTAAGCTCAATTCTAGGTGAGGGCTTCCAGACTTATGACTTGCTGTTTTTTTCTTGTGTGTTTGTGTCATGGACATCAATGCTTATGTACCAACTTCTGAGATCAGACAACGAACTTTTGAACCAAGATATTTGTCTTGAGTTTAATCAGTTTAAGATTGTCTGCACGCCACA